CATTCCCATGGACCCAGCTAACATCTTCACACAATGCAGTTCATGGTATGGGCTCTTCAACAGCAACTATTACTTGGAAAAAGCAAAGAATCGTGACATGAATAGTTGAAATAAAGCATGCCGCTGTATCTCCCATCTGCATGAGGCAGCTGTCAATGGTTAAACCCCACGCTTTTTCTTTCGCTGTCTCCCGGCCATTCAGGACCATTTTGATTTACTCCGTATCTTACTGGGCTGTTGGTATAAATAAATATCTTACAGGGAAAAGTCGCCGGGGCCCATTAGAGTAAAGAAACTCACGCGAGTAATCATCATGGATTTTCCTTATTAACTTACTGCATGACTAGATGTAAGTGCATCTCCCGTCCATTGAGCAATCACTTACTCAGGCACCTCTCTCGTCTTGGAATTCTATCTACACGTCCAATTCACGAGCGGGATGGGAAAGGTCGACGATACTATTACTTAGCCCAGCATGGTAGTTTTTCGGGAGGAAAAAATACCCTCCCCTTTTCAACATCATGACCGCGCATTGACCTACGCTGTGTACGTGCCGAAGGTGAGCACTGACTGGCATGAAAGCCTTTAGCTCCTCTGCATGGCCACGGCAGGGTTTGCAGATAGTCAAAATCAGAACCTCCCGAAGTTAACAAAATTCTATATATATCGCCCGTCGTCGTGGTCGTCGTCGTTAGTTACAAAGCGTCCAAGTTACAGTTGCAGGATGTTGGCTGTTCACTCATTCTCTGTTCATTTGCTGTTTCATCTATTGTTTCAGCCTATGTTTTCGGCTCTGACAACAAAAGCCACCGTTTTAAGGGTTGGTGTTGATTCAAGGATCACACATCCACCCAAGTCCATCAGCCATTCTTGAATCTTCGACCAACTTTGACTAACGACAAACTAACTAACAAGCCAAATGGCATCGGTTCTTGTCAGCCTTGCCCTGGTCCTTGCTAGTATCTTGATCGAACTGTCAAGGAGTTCTATGTTACTAGCGTATCATCACTTTGTCTCAACGTGAGAGAGCCACCTGGAGCTTGACTTGCTGAGCCTCGAAAATATTTTGGCATTTGATCAGGAGTTTCGTAACTAGATATATTGCCTGTTGGAGTTTGTTGCTCAATCAATGAAAGCCATTAAGTGCCTCTCAACATGACATGAAATTCGTCAACCAAGGACGATGGAAATTAAGTTCTTGATCGACTGTACAGAGAGAATGGCAAGAAAAAAGAGAAAAAAGATCATCTCTATGGAAGAAGTATAGAGAATGGAGTAGCGACGGCTAACCATCATCCTTTGACTGTGGAAAAAGTAAGCACCAAAGAGAGATCGATCGGAGCTTATTCTGAGAACACCCTCCGCTATGCGGGTTGGCCTAGAAGAGTTTCATTTCTACCAACCCTCAGAGCTCCAGCCTACGATCATTCTTTGTGTCTCTCTGGTTAGCTGTAGACTGTGTCGTCCACCAGGAAATCCAGGAAATCGAGTTCCCCTTCCTGACGCATTGTATAGCCAGTTTCGGACATAGTGGTCCAGTGCAACCGTTCATCCTCCAAGCTAGCCACAAAATCGTCACAGATACACAAGAACCTCCCGGGGCGTCCTTCGGTACCGCAGAAGTTGGCATATAGTCCAATTTCCAACTAACTTCCGTGGGTAGAATCCGGTTTTCCTGAAAGAACTTGGCTTCGGGTCTAACGAGGACTGTTTACGAGTGGAGAGGTGCTGAAGCGCTTGTTTTCCTACACCTCTCATAGCCGACCTGACATCTGATGGACGCTGGAAAATTCAGACAATCAAGAAGATTTTAAGGAAACGAGCGCCAGGCTCAGGAGATATTCCATCTGTTCCACATTTTCTCGGTCTCCAGCAGGGTATGGTGTACAATTTACCGATTCAAGAAGTGTCATGAACGGAAGATTGAATCTCGATATCCAATAACAAAAAAATATCCGCAGAACCACCGCTATCGATTCGATAGCAGCTGGAATGGGTAAAACCATATGTTTTGGCCAATGAATCCAGATCTACTTCAGATGGTTTGGCACAGTTCCGAAAAACGCTGGCGAGATCTGTGCCACCCGATGGCTGTATGCCGGATATCCAGCGCAAATAAAATGAGACTAAAAGCATTATGAAAATGAGGCAGTTCCCTACAGGGTTTTCCAGGCCGTTGGTCGTTGCTTGATCCAGATTTAATATCATCTACCACTCCAAGAGCCGGGTAATAAATCACAAATATAGATGTTATTCGCTTGCAAGGGATTAGATTGAACGGAGATGAAAAAATTATATTGATGGTCGGATAGGTGTGGACAGTTGTCAGTTGAGAGTTATCGGTTGTCGACTCCCAATTGACCCTGTCGAACGCCTGTTCCTGATATGTCGTTGATTCATTTATCAGGAGACAGCGAAACAGGAGACAGCGAAACAAAGTTCAGAAAAAATAATAAAAATAATAAAATATCGCATACAAGTTCCGGTTGTTCTTTTCAGACCCTCCTAAACACGATCGGCTGCACACCTCCGTCCGGAAACAAATTCTTTTTCTTTCTCCTCCGATTTTCGTGTTTCACGTCCTTAGACGCCAGCTCGCCGTCTGCGTCAAACCATACACCCTCGTCCAATGATGTTTCGTATTCTCTGTATATACTGGCCGTCACCTGACGCATAATAGCCCACGCGACGCTATTTCAAATCCCAGCAATCAAGAGTCAGCAATAAATGATGATAATTAGATAGTATAAACAGCATTTACATTACAGACTAAGTAGAAGACACACATCAGTGAGATGGTGATTGATATCTTCTCTACACAGGAACTCAAATAAACTTATTTACGTACTTCATTCCCGTACACATCCTTTGTCCATATCCAAACGGCATCAGCATGCGTTGCATCTGACGGTGGGCCGGGGATGTAATTGGCACTTGCCAGCGTTCTGGATCCCACACGTCTGGGTTAGGAAACGTATCCGGGTCGCGGTGGAGGGCGTGGGGTTGGATGGAGATGATGGTCTAGATAACGCGATATTTTGTCAGCATTCTCTATCCAGGAAAGAGAGGGAAGTCTAGATTATCGGGATCGGGACCGTTGGCACTATCCGAAAGCTCACCCCTGGGTTTATCTTCAACCCCATGACAGTAACGTCCTGATCTTTCGTTTTAACCACTCTCGGGGAGACTAAAGGGGATTGGGAGGACTGATTTCGTCATGTTCTCTCGCAGGACGCTCGTTTATGTACGGCAGGCGCTTTGTAGCTGGTGATAAGGGTATGTGTTCCGTGGAACGAGGCGAGGACAACTTCTGTTTGTTGACAGTATCTTACTTCTTGGGCGAAGTTT